CTTCATCAGCGTTTGCGACTGAAGCCCACCAATAAGGGCGTTGATGCAAAGCTCGTCTATATTCCAATCTTGCTGGCATGGCGTCCACAGTTGCCGAAGGTACTCAGCTTGCCAACTCGTGGAAAATGTAAATTTCAGATCGCCCTTTCCTGACCTCTTGTCTTGGTTTGGCAACTTGACAAGGGATTCGCCGCTCTCTTCACAGGCAGCAACACGGTCCTGAGGTATCCGAACCGCACTGCATCCGACAATGCTTCATTGCTCTTGCTTGCTCGGTCAAAGAGAACCTCACCTTGAGCCAGAAGGGTCTTGGCGAGCTGTTGACGGTCGGAGCCTTCAATCCAACCTCCATTGTTGCCATAGACGACACGGTTCGAAGAAGCGTCAATATCTAACCAAGCAAGACACCATTATTCTGCTTGACTGCGCACAGATAAGCGACAAGCAGGCCCACATGGCGGTCACAAAAATCAAAAACTCGTTTAGAAAATGTGCTCTTGTCACCGACGTCGACTTCGGCAATTGCACGCTCAACCCAAGCTGCCACGTTGGTGTCATCCATGACTGGTCCATTGAACCAGAATCGGTGAGGGTCAAGTGACTTTGGGCTCATGCCCCATTCTAGGCTGCTGGGCCTCTGCGTTGTCAGCAGGACATACTTCAAGTGGGGCCGGCGCGGCATTTTCAGTTCGTCTGCGAATGTACCGTGTGCGAAGGCACGGTGTGCCTCATCAACAAAGAAGATAGTGCTCTGTTCGGTAGAAAAGTCAATGTCTTCCACACAACGGCAATACTTAACCGTATGACCTTGTGAGTTTATCTCAACCCCTGGCATAAAACTCAGCTCGCCGACCGAGCGAGCTCTTCCGACGTTGGCAAAGTCCCATAACGTAGGCTTTACCATGCTGAACCGCATACTCGCAAAGTGTCTTGATCGCGCCCGTCGGCTCCAAAATGCTGTCCCACGCCTCGTGACTTCCCACAGCCATGGAGCTTTGCAGGATGGGCTGCAGCTTTCCAGCAGTCGCCTACAGGAACTGTTTCTGTTGCTTCCCCACTTGACTTATTGTCCTAGAATCCTAAGGACAGAACAAGTCGAGTGTCAAACTTCAAACATCACAATCAAAACCAGTCTGCGGAAACACAAAACATGCATACCGGCCAGTCCTGTGCTGCAGGCTGAGCCGGCCTTTGAGGACGGGCAGAAAAACGCCAACTCAAACGCGGAGGCTCCTGCACGCACAAGGTTTGGCGTGTTCCCCGACAGTTCGCAATTCCATCGACAAAATGTTCAAACGGGAACTGGACCTTGAACTTCTGCCACGTCCACGCCAGCGGCCGCGCAATAGCCTGACAACGTGCGCGAAACTGTTTAAACCGCTTGCCGTTGTACAAAACACAGTATGTGGCTTGGCACCTGCCGCAGTACTGCCGGCTGATGCAATAAATGTTGTGATCTGCACATGCACAGCATTGCTTCTCACAAAACTCAGCCAAACCTTGTAGGTCTGCACAGGTTACTGCGGGTCACTCCCGCCGAAAAAAAGTTCCATCAGGTGGATCGGAAAGGTGCAAACAACCGCATCCGGACATGACTACAGCCGCAATGATGGCAAATTCGGAGTTGCCTGGATTTTGGTGCATGCACCTCCTGTTTCGGCTGGATTTTTTTATATTGCCGTAGCTTTACGACAAGCCCAAATACGCGACAGTTTGTTGAATTGTGCACAATCATTGTTACAAGTTGTGCTTCGAGCCCATTAAGCACAGCTGCCCGGTTGCACTGTGATACAGCACCGTTTGCCATTTGCTGCTCATGAGGAAACCAAAAATGCTGCGGTGAATCGGTGATTCTGCAGTTGGTGATCTGCAGTGACCCGTGTGACCCGAAGTGACGTCTGCAACAGAGGCTGTTGTGGTGAACAGAGGCGTGACATGGAGTGTTGCAGACGTTGTAGTAACCATGCTGCAGAAGACTGTGGTGATGGCATAACTGCAAAAAGACTAGTAACATTGAGTGACATTGGAGTGTTAAGTCGACTCGCGCGCTTTTTCACATTGCAGGTTTCAGCAGCACTTTTCAAGTTTTTGGTTGGGTTTATTTCATTGTAAGGCATTAATAGGTGGTTGTTCAGCTCTCCGGTCTCAAAAGCTTTTTCAATTTGAGTTCCCAAAACCTTTCTTGTTTGTTTTACATTCCGTTTGACTCGCAAGACTGAAAAAATGTCTAAGTTTCAGACTTGCAATGTGACAATCCTGTTTGGTACTTTTGTGGTTTTTTTTGTCCAAAAGTTGAGGTTTCAAATCTGTGTGAATTAGATTTGGATTTTTTGGACCGTGTGTGAAGTTTTAAATTGTATTTTGTATGAATGGCACCCTGAGTCTCAGCCAAAAATGCCTGCAAGAAACTGCTGCAGCAAATCTTGACCAGTTTGGCTGATTCATCTTCTTTTGTCAGAGTCACAGGGGATTGTAGTTGATATGGGGGACATTGTTGTGGTTTGTGGTTTTATTGGCCGGGCGCGGCGTCGCGCGCGGTTAACTTTAACCGCTCAAAACGCCGCGCCGCCCGCAGGGCGGCGCGGCGTCAGCCGCGCCGCTCGAGGCGCCGCGACCTTTTTTAAGGGGCCTCGCAGCAAGAGCGGTCCGCCGCTCGAGGCGTCACGTCTTCAAAGGAGGCGTACGCAGCCTAACAAACCGGCACCCACAGTCCGCAAGTGGAAATGCGGCCACCAACACGCCGCTCCAAGGCAGCAATTCCAGGCCACGCCGCTCGATGTGTTACACCCTTAAAGAAGCTGTCCCCTGGCCTAGCAAACCCACCCATCAAGCTGACAAGCCACCCAAAACTGTGTCTACGGAAACAGAAGGCAACACAAGACCAAACACTGCCAAACAACCACGTCAAAAACGAAGCCTTGATCTGAACCGACCTGACTTGGATTCCCCAGCCTCACCATGCACCGGAATCGACTCCAAAAACGCACAGCTCTTTTTGTACGCGCAAAACTCTGGCAAACTTCTAACAGCTTCTGCTTTCTGCTAGCTAGTTCAAGACTCTGATCCCTTTGTTGTCAAAAATAAGCTCTTCTTCTTCTTCGGGATCGAAAAGTTCGCTTTGAACGTCCTCGCCTTCCGAATACACTGGCTCGTGCTCTTCATCACAGGAAAGTGAAAGCGGCTGAGGCGATTCTTCTGCAGGAGGCACCAAAACAGCAGGAACCTCCTCTGCAGATTTCGTTTCAGGGGCAGTGGAAGGCTTTGCCTTTCCCTTTCCAAAACTAGCCAAGCTTGCCCACGTTACGGAGCCAACGGAAGCACGCTCAAGCTTGCGCATTTCCGCAAAGACTTGAAAAGCATCCGTAAAGGAAAACCAATGCAAAAACTGAAAGGTGCGCACTCGCTCATGAAGTTGTGTCTCCATTGCCTCAGCCGTAGCAGGAGAAGGCCCCGTGGTGTTGATGGGACGCTTGCCGACCTCTCTTCGAAAGGTTGCAAAGAACCCATCCAACTTTTGGGTGCCCCCAACCCTGATCTCTTCCACCCATTGTCGCCCATCAAAGATCTTGAGCTTGAACTTTCGAGTGAACTCTGGGTGGGGCGGCTTGTGTCGGACGTTGCTGTGCGCCAGTTTCAAATGAGCAAAAGAAGGTCCTCCCAAGGCTCCATTGTACAAACATGGCAATGGCTCTTCAGAGTCCAGCTTCTTGTACGCCTTTGCACTGTCTGTGTGACAGACACTGCCAACGGCGATTCGGCTGGCTCCTGCGGAATTCACGATCGTATCCTTCAGCTCCTGGATGCTCAAAGGGCCTCCTCCACCTTGTCCGGAAGCCGTCAACTTGTCCGGGAGCTTGTGAATGAAGACTTTCGCACTTCCTCTACGAACGATCGCAATGTAACGGAGCCATAGAACCTTAGTGTAAATTGAAGATATCGCAAGCAATACAAACACTTTAACAAACGGACAAAACAAGGCCGATGAAACCCAGCAACCTTGTCGTCCAAGCCTTTGCTTCTAAAGCTGATCTCATCTAGCTCCACGTCCATCCCAGCACCACCCATCACAAGCTCTGAGACCAGCTTGATCCGGACTGACATTGATCGGGGACAAGAAGAGCCAAAGAGCACCAACCAAGGATCGAAGTGCCAATTTCTTGTTGAAGAGATCTGTGTCATGTGTCAATGCAGACTTTGAGCATCTGCAATTTTTTGTCTTGCACGTAAGAGGCATGGTCTCCCTTTCCTTCAATCCGCCAATTGGTCTCTTCGCACCATTCACACGGATCAAGTCGACCATCATGCATCAAGCCCAAGTCAACACACATCTCCAACCCCCCTCCTCTTCAGGGTCATTTCCCTCCCTCCCTCACATTGGCTAAAAGAGGGCGATTTGGGCCTTCGCCCCGCCCCCTTCAGGCAACGTGAAGGACAGACACAGATTTTTCAATTTGAAAAAAAATAAGAAATTCTGATGAAAAACATTTGGACACAATTGATTGATGCTCTTTTCTGTCAGACAATGCAAATGAAATTCAAAAACAAGAAGTTTTGGACAAATTGAAATGGTAAAGAACATTTTTAAAAACAAAAAAACGTCTGGTGTCTAGAAGACAAAATAAAAAAATGCAACTTTGTTTTTTGAAGTGATCGTTGATTTAACTTGTTTGAATTTAATCAGGTTTCTGTTATCGTTTGTTTGTCTTGTCTGGATTTCTTTGAACGGTTTTGCTTTGTTTACGGTGTCCTAAAATAGTTGGAAAACAAGCTTGTTTTTGTTTCTTGTGAAGCAGTTAGTGATGTGAAAAAATTTTTGAAATCACTTGGTTTTTATTGTGTTATGAACATCGCTCTGATATCGTTTGAAGCGGCTAATTTGTAGATTTAAGAGACATCCTCTAAGGTTGTAGCAAGTGGAGCGGCTGTAAAGGTGGCACACCTTCTAACAGTGTAGCATTTGAAGTGGCAAGATTAGCCGCTTCAAATGCCGCGCCCGCCTTTCATTGTAGTGGTTGGAATTGTTGTGTTGTTGTGGTTGTTAAGGTTTTTGTTGGGGTTGTGGTTGTTGTGTTCTGAAAAACGCCGCTCTCTGGGGGTGCTTGCAACTGTCTCTCACAGTCTCCACACTTCCATCTGCGTCGGCTGCACCTGTCCGCTCCCACATCTTCATCTTCATTGCAGCAGGACCACTTCCACTTTCGATGCTGACTCCAGGCTTGTGATATTCCAAGGCCAAACACAGCACCAAATGTTCGTCCCACATGTCTCTCCAGTTTGCCTGGGTGCTCTAGGTACGGCTCCAAGTGAATGTTCACAGCTCTGTGTGGAACGGACTCTGTCTTGCCATGCCCCTTGCTGACCTGTGGGTGTGCCTCCACCTTTCTGTTTGGGCATTCTTGCTTGTGAACGTTCATCAGGGCTGTCAATATTTCTTGTCCACAGCCGTACGGACATTCTTCTTTCGAGGAGTCGCAACCTTCCTGCGATGATCCTCCATCTCCTTCGCAGGGATCTGCAACACATCCGCTCGACTTGCTCCCAGAGCCACTGCCTTGCCCACACATCAGGAGCTTGTACTCACATTCTTTCCCATGCTCCTGCCAGTCTTTTGCCGCGTACTTCTTGCCACACTTCTGGCCGTCTGAGCCTGCATTCTTGCACTCAATCTCAACACCCGCACTCGTGCGCGTAGTGATGTGGCGGCTGCGGAGCATTCGGTTCTCGTGCCTATCGAAGTCTTCAGTCTTCTTCCTTTCCGGGGAAAGATCATGGGGAAACTTGCACTTGTTCCCGGCAGCCTGTGCGAGCGAACCCGGTAGTTCTGGCACAGCGGCGTAGACTCTGCGGATGAAGAAGCGGATTTGGAGCCAGCGGTCGCGCGCATGAGGTGCTCGGGGAGCTGTGACCAAACTATTCGAGTCTTCTTTGCCCTCGGGATCTGCGAGGTTTCTGAAGGCTCCACTCCCCTGAGCACCTGCGGGACTGGCACAGAGGCTTGAGCCTGGTGCCGCAAACTTTTGGCAAGCCGGAACGTCACCAATGGTTCCTGCCAAATGCAACGGCATCTCCGCCCAGGGTATCACGGCGGTGCACCATCCACATGGCAGATGCATCTTCTCACAGGAGCCAAAACAATGAGACAATACCACTGTTGTCCAGTCTAGATCATCGCTTTCAGTAGACGGAGCTTGCAGAAGCTTATCGCAGTATGGACAAAAGACCTCGTGGTTGTTTTGGTTGTTGTGGTTGTTGTGGTTGTTGTGGTTGTTGTGGTTGTTGTGGTTGTTGTGGTTGTTGTGGTTGTTGTGGTTGTTGTGGTTGTTGTGGTTGTTGTGGTTGTTGTGGTTGTTGTGGTTGTTGTGGTTGTTGTGGTTGTTGTGGTTGTTGTGGTTGTTGTGGTTGTTGTGGTTGTTGTGGTTGTTGTGGTTGTTGTGGTTGTTGTGGTTGGATGTTGTGGCGGTTGTTGTGTTTTTTGTGGCGTTGCGAATTTTCTTTCACATTGCTCTGGTTGTCTCAGACAACGAGCAGTTTCCAACACTTGCACTGCACATGGAGCTACTTCCCACCTTCGCCTCCACAGAACTGAAGCTCGACGATGATCTCATGTTTATACAGAACACGCATCTAGGCCAGCAAGGGGTAAAGCTCCAGTTTCTTCAATCGTCGGTTGTCTCCAGCGTGTGGATCGTCAAAGATCGTTTCTGCGGATCGCACAAAGAGAATGCCCAAGTTAAAGGAGAAAAATCAGCTGAACATCTTGCCATACATCTCCTTGCCAGTAGTCCTCTGCAGTCGCCGTGCCGATGGTCGTAGTTTCGGCAGCCACAGTAGCAGCTAGCGAAGCGAACATGAAGATAGAACGTGACATTCCGGATGGAGTGAAGGCCTGTTGTAGAACGTACCTGTCTTTGGGCTAACTGCGAGAGAACATGTCACAAGAGGGAGCCCAAGCAGCTCCACATCAGGTCACGCTGCGAGACACTGCAGCACCAGTACACCGCCAGACAATTCGGGAACAAAAAGCCAAAACGAGACTGGCATGGCGACGTCGATTCTGGCGACACTCAAGCCATGGGTCCCATGTAGACTTTCAAACCAGGCAATCGGGCACGGGGCTGAGATTGGAGCAAACACTGTGCCCGGCGCTGCCTCACCTTCGCTTGCTGTCATTGCGGACAGGCTGTCGGTACCAGACGCGTGGAGCTGGCTGTTGCTGTTGCGTTGCTGTTGCTATTGCTATTGCTGTTGCTGTTGCTGTTGTTGTTGTTGTTGTTGTTGTTGTTGTTGTTGTTGTTGTTGTTGTTGTTGTTGTTGTTGTTGTTGTTGTTGTTGTTGTTGTTGTTGCGGTTGTTGTGGTTGTTGTGTTGTTGTGGTTGTTGTGGTTGTTGTGGTTGTTGTGGTTGTTGCTGTGGTGGTTGTTGTTGTTGTCGTAGGGTTGTTAAGGGTGGTGTTGTAGGTCGTCGCCAAAGTAGCAGGTGGTGTTGTAGTCGTCGTCATCGGAGTGGTCGTCCGCCAAAGTAGTAGCGGTAGTGGTGTCGTAGTGGTCGTGGTTGGCAGTAACCGTAGCAGTAGTTGTAGGAGGGAGTAGTAGTAGCAGTGTTCGTCGCAGCAGCAGTAGTAGTACTGGCAGTGGTAGTCGTAGTAGTGGTCGTAGTCGCAGTCGAAGTCATCGTCGTCGTAAAAGTGGAAGTGGTAGTGTTAGGGCTTCAGAGTTTGGGGTTTAGGTTGAAACTTCAGATTGGTTCCAGCTTCCGACCGAAAGGTTTCCCAGTAAACAAAGCGGGAGAGCGCGAGCCCCCATTTTGCCGTTAAGCAAGAAAACCCAAGTTCTTACATATTTGTCTGACTGGCTACACACCCTCAGTTGGCCGCTCCGCTTGCATTGCTTTGCTCATGCCAGCATGATGTAGAACGCTTCAATCATGACAGCAATTTTGCAGTGTTGTCCAGCCCTGCCGTTCTTCAACTTTGAGTCTTACTTGTTAGCATGATTTGGAGAATCCGTGCTCGCAGCTGTGCGGGCTCTGGGTTTCACTCGTCAACCTTCCAACGTGCATGATGCAACAATCGTCGGTGTGGCCATGCTTGCAAGTGACGCTTCGAACGTGCAGCAAATAGTGAGCGATCTCTACTTCGAGGCCACACCAGTTCTATGTTAGCCTGCTTGTCGAGCTGGCGGCTTAAACAATCTGCATCCTTTGTTGTGTTGAGCCTTTCGCGCGCGCAAGGGTACATAAGCCGCTGCTGAAAGATGAGCGGGCGCAGCGTCAACGATGAAGGGCGCACTGATTTGCACTGCAGTCTGACACCACTCATCGCTATGGCCCTTGTCGCTAATCAGCGTCTCACACAGACAGTTGCAGCGACCGCATCAAATCTGAGAATACTGATTTTGAATAGGATTAGAAACACAAGATAGACCTTTTTGCGCTGTGACACGGCCCGATCTGATCAGTGCTTGGGGCCTGGTTGACTTGGGGGAGAAGCTCGCCCCTTCCAGTGTTCCCACCTGGCCCCTCGGTAAGGACCAGCGGGGACCTTGGCGGTGCCTTGGGCGGCGGTGGAGGCACGACTACAATAGGCCCAATGGCCTGCGCGGGGAACCGCCTTGGGTAACGCAGCATGGTACCTGTCTGAGCGGGCTTTAGATCTACTGATGGAACCGGTGCTCTTTGGATCCAATCATTTCCCACATTGTGACCCGTAGACCCGTAGTGACCCGTAGTGACCCGTGGCGACCAGTAGTCTGTTGTAACCGCGTTAGAGGCGGTCCTCTCGATCAAGCCAAGCGCTTCACATCTTCCTTCGTGATGCGTGGATCTTGCAAGCGAGCTTGTTTTAGGGTTTCTGCTTGATTGCCGAAGCCGGTTCTCGGATTTTCGTATACCTGCTTGATGACATTTGCCCTAGCCTCTGCCATGTTTTCTAGGGAGAGGCTTTACCGCTCGGCTGGCGTTGCGCGAAGCCTTTGAAGAGTTTGTAATGACCGCATAGTGACACCGTAGTGACCACTTTGATTCGTAGTGATCCGCAGTGACCGTAGTGACCCGTAGTGACCCGTATGACGCGTAGTGACGCGTAGTGACGCGTAGTGACCGCTACAGCAGCACCGCGAAGAACAGTCGTAAAAGCGCTGCAAACTGCAGTATGATGCAGAGGCACTTCACTGCAGAGACTCGGTGAGAGACTCAGTCTTTATGGAATCTTTTCTGGTGAAGACTGCAGTCTTTTTGGAGTCTCTTCGAAGTCTGCCTACTGCTTCTACTGCTGCAAACTGCTCTTCTACTGCTGCTACTTCTGCTTCGAGCAAAGATTGCAACATTATTGAGTCATTATTGCGACATTATTGAGTCATTATTGAGTCATTGTTGGCTCTTCTTTGACTCATTATTGAAACAAACGAAATTCTTTTTCGCTCCATTTTGACAACACCTTGCGGTCACAACGCGGTCACAACGCGGTCACAACGCGGTCACAACGCGGTCACAACGCGGTCACAACGCGGTCACAACGCGGTCACAACGCGGTCACAACGAGGTCACAACGCGGTCACAACGAGGTCACAACGCGGTCACAACGCGGTCACAACGCGGTGCTGCTAAAAGGGGCTGTAGTGACGTTGTAGTGACGTTGTAGTGACGTTGTAGTGACGTTGTAGTGACGTTGTAGTGACGTTGTAGTGACGTTGCAGTGACGTTGTAGTGACGTTGTAGTGACGTTGTAGTGACGTTGTAGTGACGTTGTAGTGACGTTGTAGTGACGTTGTAGTGACGTTGTAGTGACGTTGTAGTGACGTCTACTACAAAAGAGACTGTGACATTTTAGTGGCTTTTGGAATAAGTTACCATAAGCCCCCCCTTACTTATATATCTTGTCGCCCAATTTGATGGCAGCTGCCATGTGCAAGAAAATATTGGTGGAGCGGGTGGTATCGTTTGGTCAGCTGGACCTGTTCCAGTAATTCTTGACACGATCGCCATCCCGCTTTAGCCTTGCCCAAACTCTATGTTTGCGGAAATACATGCCGCAAACGCAACGCTGGACAAGGCATTACTCCTTGCTGCTGACAATCAAATTGAAGAAGTTGTCATTAAGGTAACTGCATTAAAGGACCTGGTGTGAAAACTTAATGCAATGTGGCAAAAGCTGACGCACACTTCCATTAAGGTGCACTGGTTGTATGTTCCTTGCATTGGCAACAAAGTTGCTGACCATTTAGCGGGAATTGCTGCTGACAGCCTTTGCTATAAAGCACCCCTTTGCGAAGATGTCTTCTTCGATTTGGAAGAGGGGCCACATGCAAATCAACACTGCGCGGTTTCCCCCATCTTGTTGCCTTGTAACAGGCCATACAGGATCTTAAGTCTGGTGCCGAAATTGTCTCTCTTAAATCTCCGCACGTACACACCGTCAGACACCCAAAGCACTAGTTCCTTTGAAGAAAGGCATTTGTCCATACAGCCCTTGCAGCAAATGTTTGGTTTTGCACCGTTTGCGCTTTGGGAGCGCGTGCTAGGTGGATGCTAAAGATCTTCCTGGCCTTAGGTACGTTAAGAGGGGTGCAGGACTGCATGTCAGAAGGCGCAGAAGGGAACAATGCGCACCTTTCATGTCATTTCAATAGCGTTCGGTCCAATGGCCAAGAAACGTGTTAGTGCCGGATGGCATAGTATCTTTTTCCAAGAATGCAAGGATGGCCTTCTGTATTGGACGAGTCCTGGCCACAACGTGTCAAGTTCCGCCGGTGGTTTGATACGATTGTAGATGCAAAAGCGCAAAATCAGTTTAGGGTTCCAAAAACCGAAATTCAGTCTTGTTGGCAGCTTTCGGGCTTGCGTGTGTGACCACTATGGACTGGACCGGTCTTACCTTGATGTTTCTTGCTGGTAAGTCCCATCTTTCCTCTTCTTTGGGAAGTTTGAGAGGCCAATGCGGCGGTGCTGCCTCTTCCAGGTTGCAGGCACTTCTGCGTGGAGAATATAGACAAGAAGCCATCGAACACCATTTGAAGTGACTTGGCCTTAAAGAGAGCTATTATCGCCTGTGCTTGGCCTGTGGCAGGGCAGGATCTCCGCCCGCCTGGATGCTACCTGACGGCGTTACCTGGATGAAAGCTGTGTATGCCACGATCTTAGCGCTCTTGCAGGCTGCCAAAGTCATGTAAGCCCTACATCTTCTTGCCGACGTACATTGGCTTGGGGCCTCAAGGGACCATTGCCTACCAGATTGCAGTCTCTAGAACCCCGGCGAGCTTTCGGGCTTGCGTGTGTGGCCTCTCCTTGCTGTTTGATGAAACTGTGCTTGTGCGCGGACATCTATCTTGGTGGGTAAGAGAAGGACTTTTCGCTTGGAGCTGTTCCATTGGCTAACCTGTTAAGTTCCCACTGGCTAACCACCATGGGGCATACGCACATCTTTTCTCTTCTTTGGGAGTCTGACCTGTACCATCCCTTTGCCAATGCGGGTCTGTTATCTGTCCTTGACAACGAGTTGCGGAATCCTGACTATCGAGTGATGACCTTGGTTCGAGCCGAATGATATCGCACCAGTACATGATGGTTTAAGAATCTGGCAGTGTTGCATTTTGCAACTCCCCGCATGCTCTGTGCTGTATAATTGCGCCGGGACTGACAACTTCGAGTACTAAGTGCGTGGGGTTACCCAGTAGTTCAGTGCCTTTGCTCGCTTTGTTGCTTTTGTTTCTTTGTTTCGTGGGTGGTTGTGTGGTGTTTTTGGTGGTTTGCGCGCGCTGACTTTGTTTTACCCGTTACGTCGAACCCAACAAGACCCGCCTACTGTGCTACTGATGTAGTAAAGGGGCGTCAGTCCAAAAAAAAGCGTCATTATGACAATCAGTGGAGACAGGAAAATACCAACGTGCACAGGCCAGCCTTTGAAGCCTTGATGGCTCCAGCATTGCGAAGAAGTCGAATAAGCAGGTCTTTCGGGAGCAAAGGTGGCGAGCATTGTGCTGCCCACGGATCGCAGGGTCGGGCTGATCTGTTTGGAACGCCACCTCTTGCACGGACGTGGGCGCGTGAAGGAGGAGGAGCACGCAGTATGCGCACAGCAGGTCTTGTCTGCTTTGTCTCTCCGAGACGATGAGCGTAGAAAGGGTGCTCGAACTTTGCAGACCAGGGCAGGCTCGTTTTCGAATCTAGCCTTTTTGTTTTTCCACAGAAAGCTATCGGAAAAAAACACGAGTTACTGTATTTACAAGAAACGTTGTCTTCCAAATTGTTTCAAAATGTTTTTTGCAACTCTAGTTGTTCTCGTCATGTGGCAAGAGGAGCTTTAAGAAGAGAAGACCTAATTTTGAAGATGAAGAGAAGGGATTTATTTTGAATTCAACCTCTTGAATTTTGTTTTGTTTTGATTTTTAAAACAAGAAGTAAGGCTCTAAACATTCATTCCCTTTTCCGAGAGAGAGAATTCATTCTTCCCTTCTCGAATTGTTACACTTGAAAGAGGTTGGAGATTCTGGAAAAAGAAAAGCAGTCCCAAGCTGATACTGTGCATGTCTGGTTTGGTTGTTTGTTGCACTTCTTAGCAATCGTTTGTCATCGTAGGAGTGGTCGGTAATGGCATCATTTTGGCCAAGCGACCCAAGAGTTGTAGAAGGGAGTGGTGGTAGTAGTGAGGAGGAGGAGGAGGAGGAGGAGTAGTAGTAGTAGTAGTAGTAGTAGTAGTAGTAGTAGTAGTAGTAGTAGTAGTAGTAGTAGTAGTAGTAGTAGTAGTAGTAGTAGTAGTAGTAGTAGTAGTAGTAGTAGTAGTAGTAGTAGTAGTAGTAGTGTAGTAGTAGTAGTAGTAGTAGTAGTAGTAGTAGTAGTAGTAGTAGTAGTAGTAGTAGTAGTAGTAGTAGTAGTAGTAGTAGTAGTAGTAGTAGTAGTAGTAGTAGTAGTAGTAGTAGTAGTAGTAGTAGTAGTAGTAGTAGTAGTAGTAGTAGTAGTAGTAGTAGTAGTAGTAGTAGTAGTAGTAGTAGTAGTAGTAGTAGTAGTAGTAGTAGTAGTAGTAGTAGTAGTAGTAGTAGTAGTAGTAGTAGTAGTAGTAGTAGTAGTAAGTAGTAGTAGTAGTAGTAGTAGTAGTAGTAGTAGTAGTAGTAGTAGTAGTAGTAGTAGTAGTAGTAGTAGTAGTAGTAGTAGTAGTAGTAGTAGTAGTAGTAGTAGTAGTAGTAGTAGTAGTAGTAGTAGTAGTAGTAGTAGTAGTAGTAGTAGTAGTAGTAGTAGTAGTAGTAGTAGTAGTAGTAGTAGTAGTAGTAGTAGTAGTAGTAGTAGTAGTAGTAGTAGTAGTAGTAGTAGTAGTAGTAGTAGTAGTAGTAGTAGTAGTAGTAGTAGTAGTAGTAGTAGTAGTAGTAGTAGTAGTAGTAGTAGTAGTAGTAGCAGCAGCAGCAGCAGTGTTCGTCGCAGCAGCAGTAGTAGTTAGTCGCAGTCGAAGTCATCGTCGTCGTAAAAATGGAACTGGTAGTGTTGGAGTTTCAGAGTTTGGGGTCTAGGTTGAAACTTCAGATTGGTTCCAGCTTCCGAGTGAAAGGTTTGTAAACAAAGCGCGAGAGTGCTTCGCACCACCATTGTGCCGTTAGGCAAAAAATCCAAGTTTTGCCTGGGGTGCCAGCAGCAGCATTCCAATGGAAGGGCATACCCAGTGCGCTGAAATTCTGCTTCACTTCGCAGCAACGACTCTTGAAACACGCCGTTGTTCCCACCCTATGTATTAAACTGTGCTTCAGGCAATTACGGAGAACAAGGAAAGGCAGATTTATCAATCTGGTGATTTGAGGGGCCCATTCAAAACTATGAATCCAAAGGCTTTGTTTCAATCCTTCGAAGCACCCTTCAATTGAATTCTCTAACTTTTGCTTTCTCTCAAATGGCAATCGCTCCTTGCGCAACCATGATTCTTTGGAGTCAGTTTCGAAGATTGAATGTAGACCAATGTAGTTGACCGTAGTTGACCAGATTCAAATCGGACTCAAGCTGTTTGAAGTCAGAAACTTTCTCCTTTGAAATTTTGTTCTAAAGAAGATGAAACAGAGTGCATCATCCCAAACATCTGAAATTAACTCCGGTGTTTCGCTCGCGGCGCTTGCGTTTTGGAGAAAAACTAGCTCTCGTCATGTGTGTTTGCTTGGTGCAGCAAAGCCAAGACCCCCTACACCAGCAGAACGGCTGTTTGATGGCTCCATGTTGAGTATGTCTTGGATCCTATGCGTGGGAAAGTTAGAATCTGCCAGGTATGGCCATTGGGTCCCTTCAGCGTTTGCAGTTATTTGGGAGCAGCCAAGAGGGAATTTAGATAAATCTCAACTCCTCTGATTTCAAAAGGAGGGCTGCGCCCGCTAAAACCCCCGCTCTATTAATTTCTCGATCTCTGATTTCGAATAATGAAGACAAGAAACACAGAAACTGCGCAGCGGTTAACTCTCAAGAAGTAGCTGTCCATATTTGATTTTGTTGCAATAGACCGGCTCACTGTGCTGATGTGGTGAAGGGGCGGCTTGCAAAAGATCAGCAATATTAGCCTTGATCATGACACGTCGCATTAGCATTTGTCGGAAAGTTCGTGTGGTTGATATTCTTCACGTGGGTTCCATGTTCCAAAATTCCAGAACATTCGGTCCTGACAAGATTCCATATGCCATTTACCCTTTTGGCCAACTACATTGTTGGGGGTGCCTTGTGGATTTACAAGGCTTGTGCCTTGTGGATTTACAAGGTTTGCATACATTTATAAACAATATAGAAATAGAAGTATAAATATAAATATAAATATAAAAATGAATGTAAATAGAAATATAAATATAAATCTAAATATAATTATAAATATAAATACGAATATATATCTAAATGTAAATATAAAAATTAAATATAAATATAAATATAAATATAAATATAGATATAAATATAAATATCAATATAAATATCAATATAAATATCAATATAAATATAAATATAAATATATAAATGATAATAAAAATAGCAATAAAAATATAAATAGAAATATACATAGAAATATAAATATCAATATCAATATAAATATAAATTTAAATATAAATATAACTCATTCATTGACGGCATTCGGACGAACGATCTCAATCCTAGCCGAGCGGGGGGGCTGTTGCCCTCGGCTTGTTGGTTGAGTAGCAGAGCTGCCACATGTCACACGTTGGTGCTGGAGACACAGGGAAGAAAGGTTAGCCCTCCCACAAAACTGCGCCAGCATCAGAAACAAAGGAAGTACGGCGGAACCCCCTACCCGATCTCACTGATCCGATTTCAAAGCATCCAGCAGTTCTTGCACTTGGCGCTCCAATGTGGAGCTCGACCATACTTGCGATGAGCGCCAGCACTGGAGAGTCCCAAGAGAGCTCAACACATGCGTAAGATCAGCACTACAAGCAAGGTGTAATTTCGCAGATCTCTTGTCCCAAGCCTTCTTGAATCTGGCAATGTGCACTCTTGCAGCAAGCGCATTGGGATCACGTCCGGCACTGGTGGCCTCTTCAAAGTGAGCCCGGAGGGTGCTGGCATCTTCAGCATTTCCGGCGCACTCCGCACAGCTTTGACCAATGCTGCCCAAACTTGGACATGAACCGGCCCAAGGGCATCAATGGCTCTCTGATCATTTCGGGCTTCCTTCAACTTCTCCACGTGATTCTTGGCAGCATCAGTTGCAGCAACCGCAAGACTGCTGTCCCGGGGCAGCAGATAAGATCTGAGCACCGCAGCTTGCATCTCACGCACCTCCAAGCAGTTTTTTAAGCAGAGCTTTTCGACCATCTCGAGCAACTTGTCCACATCAGTGCGAGCCGCCGAATCCGACTCTTTCCGCGCAGACTTGGTAGGCCTGTCATCCTGCTGAGCCCTGGCAAACCACGACATGTCAACGGGTAGCAGCGTGAAAGGGACCAAGCATAGACTGAGTCAAGGTTATCCTTCTCACACTCACAAGGGGACAAACCAAATTGGGAGGCGGAATGACAACATGATGAGTCGAACTGCCCATGCCAGTGCAACGTTGAGCACGCAATGAAGTGCGTAGATGCTTCTGGGTAACCCAAATACTGGCAAAAATGTGCCTACACAAAGGACATTGGTTGCAAATAGCCGCGCACACATGGGGGTGAACAGCCCCATGTGTGCCACCGATCGTGAGACGCATGTGCATGGCCAAAGCAGCGTGTGACCGAAAAGAAGCAGTGCACGCATCGCCTTGTGCATTTGTGCACAAGCACGGAAAGATCAGCCCTTCTGCATCAACTGCATCAGAGCCTGCTGGCACCAACGAATGAATCTGTACTCGAAAAGCCAGGTGGAGGAATGCAGGCGCTGAGAAGCACAGCCCGAAGCTGAGAACAAATATGCAGTGAGAAAACTCGTTGATCCATGTCCCCCAGGCGTTCTGAAGCAGTGTCCAACGCCAACAAACTGGCGATGTCCTGTTTGAACTGCAGTGCCCATGGGTTTGCATGCTCGGCAATGGAACCATCAGCAAGAACAGTATCGTGCTCATCGTAATACATCCATCCAAAAACCGCCGCCAACAAAGCCGAATGTAACTCTGGCCGTCTCGCCACGGATTGCCAGAAGCAACTCAACTTTGGTTGGCACCATCCGCAACAGCTTGAACACATCCTCATCAGCAACAGCACGGTGCACAACACCTTCCTCAGTCCAGTTTTTCCTACACGCTGCTCCCCGCAGAAGCTTCCGTGCAAACGTTTTGCAGAACAGTAGAATCCAAGCGTGCATACTCAGTAGTCGTAAGGACCAACGCTTCAAGTCCCGACAAAGCTGCTCCACGCACCATTGGCAGGCCTCTGTAAGGTGACACATGACCAAAACTTGCCGAGCGCATAATAGCCCTTGGTTGCGGCTGTTTGGCGAGCCTCAGTTTCACGACTGTTGTTGCCTTTGAAGTGCCTGAAAAGAGCCCAAATACTTAGCCACTGTCTTTGCCGTACCAGGCAAAATTCCATCCCTGTAGACATGAAGATTATGCTCACGTGTAAGTGCACCTGCAAAGAAAGCCACATGCTCCTGCTTATCAATGTTTGTTGCATCCCAACTGAGGAGTTCCCTGTGGAAAACGTAGTTGGTGTTCGTGAGGTGGACATGAAATTCTTCACTAGTCTCTGCAACCGTGCAACGAGCAACATCATCCGCATAACCAGTGATGGAAATATCCCTCCTCCTCTCACCAGTAAGAGGATCAGAAACCAGGAGTTATTCTTGTTGCGTCTCACATTGCCAGCGATCCAAGACAGGGTGGTAAATCTCAAGAAACTGATCGCAAGCAACAGCGTCACCCTGCAAGCCACCAGAACCTGGAAGCAGGCAGACCTCCCCATCACGAGTTGTGATCGACATGTAGGAACGGCAATGTCGCTGTTGTAGCAGATCAACATCCGACGGCAAAGCAACCCACGAAGTGGCCGTAGATAGCACATGTCTCTTAGGCGACGGAAAAGCGTTGGCGACATCACAAAGTGACAGCGTGTGCGAGATGGCGTGTTGCCTGAGACGATGTTGAAGTACTGCTTGTTGCATGATGGCGTCTGTACGAGACTTTCCAGAAACATACCCAGACGAGAAATAGCTGTGAATATGATGTACCTCGTTTCCACAACGCAGCAAAAACCACTTTCCAAACACTTCCATAGTGTTCCATAGTGTTAATAATTCGAATGCCTGCAGGCCCAGATTTGCCTTTCTTCTTGTCCAGCTCAGTGGCCATGCTTTGCTGCCAAATTGTAGGCGCGCGACCATGCACTCGTATAGACTGCAGCAAACGAAACAACACGAACTGAAAGTTAAGAGAAAAAGGGTTGCCAGTTGTGTACCCCACGCCATGCTTGTCCTTGTTCCATTGCCACGATGGCAAGAGAAGCTGTCTCCAAACTTCAGTAGGAATACCCCAAGGTGTAACTGCTCTGCGTAGTTTGGGTGGGTGGGTGGCTTTTGGGTGAGGAAGTATGATTTTCCTGATGCCCGTTGGAAATCGTGAACACCTGTCCATACGCGTCCCATCAAATCACGATTACACCTCGTGGCGATGCTTTCCGTTTTTTGTGTTACAGCGGAATGGAAGCTCTGACGCTATCCGCTACTCGCAACCAGACTAGCCGCTACTAGCCACGAAATTGGTCATTGAAGTTCAATGATCGAATATACGGTTCGCAGACTTCCCTCGTTGCACGTGAACCCCAGGTTTTGATGTGATGGGCGATGTGACAAAATTTGTTAAACGAGCTGACGGTAGCAACTGCTTTCATGCCTGCATGTTTGGTGCTGGGAAACAGCGGCAGCAGTATGGATGCCACAGGTTGGGCGGGAATAGTGTTGGAGGTCGTGCTTCAAACCATCGACAAGAAACTTTTATCCTGAGTTCTATTCTTGCAAACAACTCTGTCTCGTGAGTGCTTTGTGGTTTCGCTGCTTCGTGGAGTTGTTGCGGACATTGGCTCCAATGTTTTTGACAAAGCTTTTTTGCTCATTGTAACATAAATGTTCGTGTTTCTTGGCCATGGAAGGCTTTCAGATAAGCCACGTGATTGCAAGTCCGGTTTGGGCGGCAGCTACGTCTTGCAGTTCGACCTCTCGTCCATGCTTTGATCGGAGAAGAGATCCCTATCAGCACTCTGGGAAGGGGACACGTGCGTATGCCGCAGGCGTCCCCATATGGCTGTTTGCAGCCGGTGCAACGCAAGTGTGGAATGTTTCGAGGAAAGCTCGGCGTGCTAGAGGCCAAGTGCAGCCGAAAGCAAGGCTGTCATCGGTTAGGCGTTTAGCCCAAGACTGGACGCGTCGTGACCAGCTTTTACAAATTGAAGAGGATGTGCAGCAGCTATGGGAAGAGCAGAAGGCATACGAGGTTGATGCCCCTGATGATGCAGCAGCTTCAGCAGAGAAGTACTTCGTTACATTCCCCTTTCCGTACATGAATGGGAAGCTCCACCTCGGCCACGCGTTTTCCATTACGAAAGCAGAGTTTGCAGTTCGCTTCCAGCGTCTTCAGGGAAAGCGAGCTCTTTTTCCTTTCGGTTTCCATTGCACAGGCATGCCGATTGCAGCAGCTGCATTGAAACTGAAAGAATGCATTGCTCAGAGACAGAAAGCAGAGGAAGGAGAGCAGAAGCCGAAGCAAGCCTCGGAAGCGCAGTCAGAAGACAGCAGCTCGAATGAAGGGGCGCCAGGCGTATTCAAAGGCAAGAAGTCTAAAGCAGTGGCTAAGACCGGTGGTTTGGACCAGTATGACATCATGCTCGCGCTTGGAATCCCGGACGATGAGATTCCTAAGTTCACAGATCCGAAGTACTGGCTGGAATTTTTCCCGCCCCTGGCAGTCCGGGACTTGAAGAAGTTTGGTGCGGCAGTGGATTGGCGTCGCACCTTTATCACGACCGACTTGAATCCATATTTTGATGCCTTTGTCCGGTGGCAGTTCATGAAGCTCAAGGAGGAGTACCTGGCGAATGGAAAGCGACAGACAATATTTTCGATCAGAACTCAGCAACCATGTGCGGATCATGATCGCTCGGAAGGCGAAGGTGTCAACCCACAGGAATACACCTTGATCAAAATGAAGGTCAAGGAATTGCCTAAAGAATGGACGGAAAGTTTAGGAGACTCCAATGTCTTCTTGGTTGCAGCCACGCTGCGACCTGAAACCATGTACGGGCAGACAAACTGCTTTGTGTTGCCTGAGGGTGAGTATGGTTTCTTTCGCATGCGTGGAGGGGACGTCTTTGTCTGCAGCAGGCGGTCTGCGTTGAACATGTGCTATCAGGATTTGGCCGAGAGTTCTGAGGACATGCAGCCGGTTTGCCTCATGACAAAAACTGGTGCTGATCTTGTTGGACTTCCGCTGGAAGCCCCGCTTTGCCAATACCCGACCATCCATGTGCTGCCCATGTTCACGATTTCCATGCAGAAAGGGACGGGTGTCGTAACAAGTGTCCCAGCCGAAGCACCAGATGATTTTGCATGCCTCACAGACTGGAAGAAACGGGCCAACTGGCGAGAGCAGTATGGGGTGAAGGAAGAGTGGTGCCAGCCTTTCGAAGTTGTCGACATCTTGTCGTTTCCAGATGAAGGAGAAGATGTGCCCTCAGCTCCAGCGATTTGTGAAGCAATGAAGATAGAATCACACAGAGACAAAGACAAACTCGCGGCTGCCAAGAAAGATGTCTACCAGAAGGGTTTCTATTCAGGAGTGATGAAGATAGGTCCGTACGCTGGAAAGAAGGTCATTGATGTCAAGGCTCAAATCAGGCAAGACTTGATTGACCAAGGAGACGCGGTGGCATACTTTGAACCCGAGGCAAAAGTTGTGGCCCGTTCGGGTGACGAATGTGTCGTGGCGCTTTGTGACCAGTGGTACTTGAAGTACAGCGATGATGCATGGACTAACAGAGTTCGAAAGCATGTGTCTGAGAATTTCGAGATGTTCAGTGAATCTGCCATGAACGCGCTCACGCACGCGGTCGGTTGGCTTGGTGACTGGGCTTGCTCGCGAACGTTCGGATTGGGAACAAAGCTTCCTTGGGATGAGCAGTGGTTGATTGAGAGCCTTAGTGACTCAACTGTTTACATGGCGTACTACACTGTTGCACACCTCCTTGAGGGGCTTGAAGGAGCAACGAAGGTCGAAGCGACTGATTTGACAGAGGATGTTTTCGATTACATTTTCAGCATATCAGACAGCCCACCTGAGAGTTCGAGCATTCCCAGCGACCTGCTCGCGAAGATGAGACACGAGTTCCAGTATTGGTATCCAGTTGATCTGAGATGCTCGGGCAAGGACTTGATTCAGAACCACTTAACAATGTCATTGTTCAATCATGCTGCCGTGTGGCAGGATGAGGGCCTTTGGCCAAAAGCATTCTACTGCAACGGCCACATCATGGTCGATTCTGAAAAGATGTCGAAGTCCAAAGGCAATTTCTTGACCTTGGAGGAGGCCATCAGCTCTTACTCTGCGGATGCAACACGCATCGCGTGTGCTGATAGTGGTGATGGCTTGCAAGATGCAAACTTCTCCAGGGATTCCTGCGGAAAGACCATCCTTCGATTGACTACGCTGCAAGCTTGGGCAGAGGATGCGATCAAGAATTTGCCGAGTATGCGAGTTGGCGACTTCACTTTTCTGGATGACATTTTCAGCAATGAGATCACAAAGGGTGTCGTTGCCTCTTGCGAAGCGTACTCAAGCATGCTTTTCAGTGATGCGTTGAGATGTGCTCTCTATGACATGGAAAACCTACGTTCTCAGTATAGCATACTTACAAATGGCGATGTGCATGCAGATGTGATCAAACGTCTTCTGCATTCTCAGACCATCATTTTGTCCCCGATTGCACCACACTTTTGTGAGCACTTGTGGAGAAACGTTCTTGGCAACAAGACGCTCGTTGTGCAAGAAGCGTGGCCGACTCCGGAGAAGGAGTATGACCCATTCCTGTCGCGCCAGTACGCATTGATTCAAGGCACTCTCCGTACATTCCGCTTGCAGCTCGAGAAGTTCAAGAGCCCCAAGAAGAAGAAAAAGGGACAGTCCCAGGGACCCCCTCCTGCACCAAACAGAGCAGTTATCTTTGTGGCCAAGAACTACAAGGATTGGCAGGTTCAGGTGCTGAAGGCTCGTGGCATGTGATTGTCTCGTAGATGGTTCTTCCGCAGGGTCAGGTGCCGTAGCTTTTGGGAAAGTTATGCAAAATGCGTGAGCAGGTCTTGCAGACTGTGGAGCTGAACGCGGAGAATGAGCCAGTGGACAAAAACTTCATGGGGCAAGTGCGTGCTGCGGAGACAATCAAAGACCTTCCCAAGCCTGTGATGAAGCAAGTCATGCCCTTTGCTTCCTTCGTCATGAAGCAGGTGCCCGATGGATGCATTGAATTCCTTCTTCATGCAAAGTCTTGGTTTTGCCTTTTGCGAGTGTGCAGGAGGTGAAGGCCAGGGGCTCGGAAGCCCTGGAGTTGGAGTTGCCTTTCGACGAGGTGGGCAGTAGGACTCAGTATGGGATAGTGGGATGTGATTGGTGTGTTCAGTGTGTTGCCGGCGTTGTGTCTCGGGCAGTGCTGAAGCTTTCTCTTTACATCCAGGCAGCCATGTTGCGGGATCTCAGCGAGGCCGAAGCGAAGCGAGTAATGCTTCGTCAACAGTTCAACGCTGTGGGTTTTGTGACATTTGCCTGTCACTGCTATTGCAAGTCTGTTGCAGGTGATAAAAGCTCAGCTGGGTGTTGAGAAGCTGGAGGTGGCAAGTGCTGCTGAAGAGCATCCTTTAGGCTATGACCAGCAGCGTGATGCTGCCGGGCCGGCAAAGCCGCAAATTGTCTTTCTCGCCGACCAGCTTGAAAGCGCCGGCGGATAGTAAGCAGCAGACCTTTGTGCAGATGAAATTTTCAAGTTCTGCTTCGGCAATTTTCAGCAGCTTCGTGAGGTGCGTAAACGATGTGGGAATGTCACCTGTAGGGCCCCTGACAGATTGTCTGCCACCTGCAGCAAAGGTTTGCTTGTCATGTTGAATTGGGTTTGGATGCGACTTGCACAGTTGTATATGTTTCCGCCAACTGTTTGCCCAAGCTTCCTGGGAGCACCAGGGTGGCTCTGCCTGTCCCGGCCTTGTGTGTAGCCGATGCAGGATATGTTTCAAGTTGGGTTGTTCAACGTGCTGCTGGAGAGCTGAGGTAACATAGCTGTGTGGCCGCAGCAGTGCGGAACTTAGCAGTCCGATTGCCAGCAGCCCTGTCCCACTGCCACGCATACTTGCACCAGGCTCAGCGCAATGCGATGGCCCAACGCTGCTCGAAGACTAGCAGCGCTTGCTGTGTCTGTCACAGTCAACAGAGTGAAAGGCTTAGCAGTTGTGGCGAAGTCGTGCACAGAGTACTGATTCAGTGGCTTGGTTGAGAGTCGGTTACTACGCGATCTTTTGCCATTGTTGAGGCGGCTGCTCATAATCAAGAAAGTTGGCTGGTAAGGCCATGAAGCAGATGCCGAAAGTGAGCAACAGTGCGGACTGTGTGGCAGTTTGTCAGCGCCTCTCGCAGATGTTCCACGGACTGCAATGGACGTAACCAATGCGAAGAGGCAGGGGAGAAGGGTGCTGTGCGCACGCTCTCCACAGCTTTCCAACTCATCCCTGTTTGACATTAATGAACAGCTCCTTGTCAACTCTTGCCAATGAACGATGACCACATAGATGAACACCCGTGCAGTCCGACTGGCATTTCGATAGGCAGCGCAGCTGTGAGCTCTCAAGGGGTCAAGAGGAGAAGGGGTCCAGGGGTCCGGGGGTCCGCGGTTTGGGTGTCGGAGGCTGTTGCTTCGTCGCGGCCAAGTGAATGCCGTTGACTTCCAGCTTCCCCCGAAAAGCTCCGGCCACCACACAGGATGCGCAGGCCTCGCAGCTCATTGGCCTGCGCAGGGACATCGATCGCTTCCTTGATGGTCAAGGCCAAGGCGTTCAAACAGAGCTTCCAGTGGAGCCTCCGGAGCCTCTGGGGACTGTGGAGACTGTGTCCGTTGGTCCTACTGGTGCAACCTTCGGAGTTCCGGAGATCGCACCCGTCTCGAAAGGCCAAAGCTTCTCCGAGTTCCAGCGGCTTTCGCAGAGCAATGAGGAGCTGCAGCGAGCCTTAGAAGGCGCCCGGCAGGAAGTGAAGACGAAGTCGAAGGCCATGTCCAGCCTCAGCAGTACTCAAAAAAATCAACTCAGCAACGTCAAAAAAGAGTGCTCCGAGCTGCGAGAAGATGGCAGAGCCAAGAAGCGACGGATAAGCGAGATGGAGGACGAGATCTTGAAGCTCCAGCGCCAACGCGACAAGCTTGCACATGACCTGCAAGAAGCTCAAGAGCGTTCGCAACGTGATCTGCAGGCCATGGAGCTCCAAGCTACAGATGAGCGTCGAAAGCAAGACTGCACTATTTTGCAGCTGGAATCAAAGCTCAAGCAACTCGCCGAATTGACCAACCCTCTGGCCGATCATGAGCCCTTGACTTCCAGAATTGCAGAGCTAGAGCAAGAGGTACTTGCATTGCGCATGCTTCTCAAAGAATGGTGGCCAGAGAAGGAGCTGGCGGCCCAACTTCAAGGCAAACACCTTGAACTTGACCAGGAGCTTCAGCAGCTGCACAGCACGCGAAGCGACTTGCTTGCAGCACAGGCGCGGATGAGCGATCTGGAGCAAAGCCAGGCATCTCTGAAGGATGCCCTGGAAGCTCGTGACGCTGCCCTGCAAGAGGCCCAAGGGGCAGAGCTTGCAAAGAAGGACCTGATCGCATTGCAGGATGTGGTGGTGGAGATCCTCACTACTGCCAAAGAGTGTCGAAGCGACGTCCCCAACAAACCCACAGCCGCGAACCTTGGGCTTGCTTGGTCCTTCCTTCAGTCTCGCTTAGCCAAGGAGAACCAGAACTGCATGCAAGCACAGCGCCAGCTAGATGAGGCAGCGAACGTGCAGAAAGACATGCAGATTGAGCTTAGCAAGCTTCGGGTGGAAGCAGCGCGTTGTGAGGAGCTAAAAGGGCAGCTCCAGGATGCCCAGTCAAACATCCAGCGGCTGATGGCGGGCAAGAGCGATGGCAGCGATGAGAGACCGGCAACAGCCGAGCCTATGCTTGAGCCAGTGGAGCTTCAGAGGCAAGTGGCCGCAAAGCAGCAGGCCATCGATGCCATTGCCAAAGAGGCTGAGTTGTTGCGCAGCCAGGTCAGTAAGCTGATGGATGTGGAAGGCAGAGCTCGAAAGCTTGAGCGTGTGAATGCAGAGCTCTGGGAAGCCAACCAGGAGCTTGAGAGTCGGGTCGAACGACTGGAGACTCTGGAGAATGCAAATGCAGCGAATGCAGATGCCGACGCAGATTTTGACCCTCGAACTACCAAAGTCTTGCACCTTGCGAGAGGTCCGAGCGGTCCAGTCGAAGCTCGTGTCGATGCTCGCAGCTCTGGTGACGCCGCTGGTGACCTGGAACAGCAGCAAGCATCAAGACAGCTGGACCGGTTTAAGAAAGCAATGCGAAAATACGTGCAAGAGTTCAGAGAGGGCATCTACCACCTCTTGGGATGGAAGGTAGAGATGAAGGGCGACGGAACTTCAATGCGATGGCATCTGACTTCCAGGTACCATGAAGGTCAGGAGTTGGTTTTCCAGCTCAGACCAGCAAATGCGGGTCCTGCAGGGCATCCAGCAGAGTTCGACTTGTTGGGCACTGCCTGGGCGGAGCAACTGCAGGGTGATCGTCAGGCCATGGCTTACCTGGAGGTCTACAGCTCTATCCCCGGCTTCCTGGCGCATGTGACTGTAGATCGTCTTGCCCAGCAGACCTTCACCCGCTGAGTCAAATCGCGTGTTGCGCCCGAAAAAGGTTGCCTTGTGGTGCCTTGTGATTGCTTGTGATGCCTCGTTGAAGTGCGATTACGTTCGTCCGAGGTGGTTTGCCCCCGATGTGTTCTGACAGGTTTGTGCCGGAGAACAAGTCCAGCACCATGCCTGCCCATATCAGGTGTCACACTCAGTTTGCCGTTCCATGCGTAGCGCGACACGCGCCTGCGTTCCCAGATGCACAGGGAAATCATGCGTTAGTGTGCGCACAGTAAGTGTGCGTGTGGAGAGTTCGCAAGAAAGCAACTAGGCGGCCACACAGCAAGGCACATTGGGTTCCGAAGAATCCCAAGGCGGACTGCTCCTCCGCCAACAGCTTTTGTCCCGACGGCGAAGAACCGAAACCGTGCGTGTTTCGCTGGCTTGTCCTTCACGCAATCATGACATGAAGACTGCCTTTGTTAGATTTCAATGGTGATGTCCTGCATGTGCTGCATGCTACCGTATACATGTCAGAATTTCTACCTGGCGTGGCAGGTTCTCGGAATGGTCCGAATGGTCAGCCCCTGTTGGATGCACTGGACTGTGTACCAGGACGGTGGATTGGCCAAAGCCATGAGTGTCTCGGATGTTGGAGAGTCCATTGGGTCAGACACTTGCAGGAACCGAACCATTCAGCAACACAACAGCTGTGGCGGAGCGGCATGTGAGTGCGGGCGACAGTGACGACTTGCGGCTGACACACATGCATCGTTATTCATGACCGTTTGAGCACAGTTATGCAAGTGCCCAGGGGTCCGCTTCAAGATTCGGTGTACTGTGCCGACGCGTGCTCGCAGACCCCGCAGGCGCGGGAATCTCGCTCCAGCTGAACCTCTAGTTCTGTTTAGTTCTTTTGATGTCGTTATGCCATGTTGTTTCGTCATGTTGCCACCTTTTCTTCGCTAGGATTGCCAGCTGAGCACCTGGGGCACTTGGAGCGAGTGCAACCTCCAGGTCGCCAACCAGAGGCCCCAAGGGGTTCCATTTTGCTACTGCTGACATGCTGAAGCTGACATGTTTCACAATGTTTCACGGTAGCGCACACGGGGGCAACTCGGCAACTTCAGGGAGCGAAATCGTAGTGTGGTGGTTCTTCCCGCGTGGAGCTCGCAGCGGAGCTGACCCAGAGCATACGAGAGAATTGAGAGAACTGAAAGAACTGAGAGAACTGAGATTCGACTCGGATTCACTCCGTTGCTGTGGATGCCATTGGATGCTCTCCATTGTGGGGCCTCCATTGTGGGGCCTCAATGCGAACTCCGAGGCTCTGGGTGGCGCTGAGTGCCTCGGCGCCCTTTTAGAGACCGAGGCCCTCGCCATGACTCCCTTGCCTTCGCCACGCTTGGCGGTCCCAATCAGTCCCAAATCAGTCCCAATCAGTCCCATGCTCCGGGTTCTTTTGATGTTCTTATCTGCTTGCAGGATTGCGGCTCAGCGGCCGCCGAGGAAAGCAACGACTGCGTGCTTTCCGCGTCAAAGTCTCGGCACACAGACACTTCCAAAACGCCATCCTTGTCGGCAGCCTGAGCTGCTGCATGCTGCCGCTGTCTGAAGGTGGATGGACTGGAATCCATGCAAGCCGTGTGCACCTGAGAACACAGGACGCACAGAAGAACAGTCGGTTGGCACATCTTGAATTTGAATTGTGCGTGTGGAAAGGAGCTATCGATGTTCAACGTTCAACAGAAGGGTCGCACGTAGAACACATGTGGTACAACTCTCACCTGCACGACTCTCCCGCAGAGCTGCGCTGCGCGTTGCTGGCAATCGTTCGTCATGTTTGCCTCAGGTGTGAAGACAAGCAGCGAGGTCGTCTGCGAACAATTCTTCACCATGCCGCTTTGACACGCAGCCATTGAATTCTTCGCACGTCCTCGCAGCAACATGGAGAGTGTATAGTGCATGAAATGACATGAAGCGCACAATCAGACCCAGGCCAAGAACGGTGGAAGGCCGGTGACGTGCGACTCGTTGCAGGCGTTGTTTGCACTCAAGCGACGATGGTGCGAGTGTAGGCACTGTACCGACACACTTGGCGAGACTGCTCCTTGCGGCGACCCCAGAGTGCGAAGATCGCATTTTCCGAAAGGCAGGCCCTAAGGCGCTTCTGAGCTGTGTGCAAGGTCCCTGCTCAACCCCTGTGGAACCTGGCAACTGCGTGTTGGAAGACTGGTAGCAGCCCGAGCAAAGTTCGACTTATTGGTCTTATCATGTGTCAATACTTGTCATAGCGAGTGTCTCTTTCTGTCTGCTTGGCCGGTTCTTCCCATCCAAGGAGTGCCTGGAGTGATTGCAGCGATGCCCGCGAACAGCGCCGCACACGTTGAAGACCCAGTTGACCCTGAAATGTCCAAGCCCAATGCTGCTGTAGGTCAAGGTCTCCGGTTTGCACTCAAGTTTTTTAGAGGAATCTTGGAGCTGCGAGTCTTGCGTCAAGTGGAATGGAATGCTGTCTTTCGGACTGGATGGGGGCTGAGTGGAGCTGACGGGAGAGTTTTTGGGCTGGTGGAGAGGCCAGATTGGCCAAGCTGCCACAGAGTCTGGCGAGGACTTTCTTCCTTTGCTTGGTTGTGCATTGCATGCCAGCACTCATGTGCTCACAGAGCTCAGGAATTAGTTTAAGGATGTGCAACGGCATCCTTCTGTGCCAGGCCTGCTCTGGGGCAGTGGTGGAGGTGTTGCCGTCTGTCACTTGGGGCACACAGCAGAGAGAAGGCGGTTTGCGTAACATTGGGAGAACATAGCCCGACTGGCATGCCAAGGTGTACTGACTCCTCACCAGAGACACCGGAAACCACGGCATGCGCCTTTGGGGACTGGTCGCACCCTCAAGTTGTCCACATTTTGAGCTGCTTGTGGTGATCTGAAGGTAAATTCTCTGAACGTTTATGCAGGGCAGACTGGCAGCTCTGTGACAAATCCTGCGATGGTGGGCAGACTGTGAGGCCTCTCGGCTCGGCATGTGTCCTGGTGAATAGAAAGAACCGGTGTGCCCCGCGCATCGTCCATTTCCTCGGAGGAGCCGTACAATAGCAACTCCTGCAGCATCTGGTGGTGCTCCCTGCAGTGGCGGCATGAAGGATCACCAGCTCACCTTGCATGAATGTGTGAGAATGTGTGCTAGATTCAGCACGAGGCCGTTTGTGTTTCTGTGTGATGCTCTGCAGGAGACTGCCTCATGCAACACGTTGTCATGCAGCCTATACCACCAGCCGTGTCGACCTTCGCAGTGGTGCATCGCTCAGCATTCAGAGATCTGATGTTGCGACGAATCAGCAGCAAGATGCGCAAAGGACAGAGTGGGGACCTTGCACCACGACTTGCGGGCCTGGCAGCTCCTCACGCAGCCGCACCTATGCAGAGGCTGCAAAACAGTCAAGCAAGATGTCCATGTCGCGCAATTGGGTAAATCCTTCGGAAGCGTGAGATCTGAGTCGGTGAGACACCTTCAAGAATGTGCTTTTCTTCTTGACCTTCTCGTGGTCTCTCTCGCCTCGTTGCTCCTCTTGCCCTGGACAAACAATGCACACAGAGTTCATGGGGATCTCGCTTGCGATGCAAAGGCTGACCTTAGCAGCCTTACTTGTAGCAACCACCTGCAAAACGCAAACTATGCACTCGTTTCGCGATTCTCAGACGAAGATCCGCGGTTCATCGCTTAGCCATCACTTCCCGCACGCTTAAAAAACTTTGTGCACTGGTGATAACTTGTGGTGTGTTCGGCAGGCAGACTTGGGTGGAGAACCTTGCTCATTGACGTTGGCAGAGACACGGGCGTGCGAGGCCAACACCACCCAGGCCAGGGCCGTTCAGGCTCCATGTTCAGACTGGGGAGACCCATTACCCTGGCTCAGGCGTGTGGGGTCCAGGATTGCGTCATTGACGACTGGCCGCGGCCTCATGTCCTCGTGTAGTCTCGTGTAGCTGTAGACAAAGCTGTGCGACCCTGTCCAAAGCCCAAAGGCCTGAAATGGGCTGAAGCACTTGCAGGTCGGAGTGGAAGTCTTGCACCAAGACGTGCAGCGGTGGAATCACCGAGTCACGTCCTCACCAGCTACTGGTCTGTTTTCTTGCAGAAAAGGAGACAGGGGTGTGCTTCTGAAAGGCGACATCGCAAGATCACCCAGCACGCTTCCATGGGAGGAAAAGTTTGTGATCTCGAGGAGAACCATCTGGAGGAGGTGACATTTCTTCTCTGGTCTGTCATGGATGTTGATGCTGGAGCACGGTCAGGTCAAAGCATGCGGTGATGGCCCGTGCGAAGTAAAAAGTGACTGTGAAGACGGCGAGTGGGGCGATTGGCAAGGTCCGCCGTTTCAGTTTTGTGCAGGAAGTGTGCTTGCAAAGGAACCGTGAGTATCGTTGAGAGACCACCGCGTTCCTTCGAGCCTGTGTGCGTGAGGCTGGACAGAATGCACCAAGTCGTGTCGCGGCGGATTCCGCTTGTCCCAGCGAAGGCCAGGACGCGGAGCAAGCTCAACTCACATCCATACGCCATACGAGAAACCTTCCAAGTTCCGTTGCACTTCTACACAGATCTCTCTTTCATGCTGTTGGTACCTGCATGGGGCGAGGAGGGAACTATGACACTTAGCGACTGATGAGAGTGGCACTAGTGCATCTGCATTGCAGTTGGCTGCACAAGTGCAGTGTAGAGTTGCATACTGCGGCAAGAGCGCCCGATTCAACAGAGTCCTGCCAGGGTGGTGAAGGAGGCTAATTCTTGCGGAAATCCAGCGCAGGGAGTTGCCACAAAGATCGAGAGGCCCATTGCAGTTGTACAACTTTCGATGCCTAAAACGTACTACTAGGTGCCTCTAGCTAGGTCTACGCATGTCCAGTGGATGAAGCCTTGTACCATAGAATTTTAGCGTAGCAGCACGCGCGATGGTCGGCAAACAAAAGCGCAATCTTTGGGTGTCCTGTGCAGTTGCAATGATGGCATCGTCTGCAGCGGGGCGGTGGACTGCGAA